TGCTTCTAGTATAGATAGTCCCATCACAGAGGTACGTTTTGCCTTTTAATGAAACATAAGAATGACGAGAGAAAAAGCACTTCTAAATTGTTGAGTGGCACAATCTGTCAGCATCGTGAGTGTCTTAAAAGGTCTACTTTGATCTCACGCACTCAGAAGACTTGTGTGAGCAGCTTTTGTATCCAGTGTCTTATATCAAGGGTGTTACAGCCCAGCTGAAGGGGGAGGAATCCCTGGTCTTGTTCTTCCTTTAGAAAGGGCCCCCTTCATTTCCTCCCTGGATTCTCCTTCCAAGCCTCCTTCCTTGGAAGTGCCTCGCTTTAAAGGGCCTTTCACATTTCCCCAGATGGCTCCAAGGATGATATAGAAGTACTGAAAGAGGAGCCAAGGGTACTCTGCCCTTGACTTGTGGGAAGAAAGCTGCCCAACTCACAACAAGGGGATGGCCAGTGGGGGAGGTGACACCCCAAAATGGAGGGTTCCTGGCTTGTTGGGGTGGAGTTGTGAAAGCTTTATGGGGTCTGTGTGGCTTCTAGGCTGTTCCCCATGCCCAAGGCTTCCCAAGGCTTCACTGTGTGTGGTGCAACGTTGGTTACCCAAGCAGTAACCGCAGCATGGTGGAGAGCTGTCAAGGTCCAGTGTTCTTCCATCCCAAATAAAGAGGGTTTGGGGCTGGTATGGTAGAGCAGTTAAAGAATTAGACTAGGATGGTGAGATCTAGGTTTAAATCTACCCTTAGCCATCGACGCTTACAGGATGACTGGGCCAACTGACGTTTTCCAGCCCAGTGTAATTCGTGTAGTAGTTTGAGGGATAAAATGGGAAGGTAGAAGAATGCATGCTGTCTTGAGCTTCTGGAGCACAGTTGGGTTTGTCTTCGAGTTGCATTAACTAATTCTTGGTCGCCTCACGGGTGCGTCTGTGGAAGTATCAAGAAAGAGCATCAATTGCCTCCCCCATCAGGCCTACAACCCTGGCATTTTCTGGTGGTTTCCCATCCAAGGATAGACAGAATATGACACTGGTTAGCTTTCGGAGATCAGCCCAACTTTGCAAAGAGCTATCAGGTTTTTGTACTGCTAGGGAAACAGGAGGGTAAGTATTCCTCCTCACGGAAAGCTAGTGTGCCAGAAGAATTAATTACCTAGCTTCTCTTGGTGTGCTACTTTTCTAGGTTTTCTAGCAAGGCCATCATGCAAACTCCCACCTGCATTTCACCCGGTACACCTGAAGCCGACTTGCTGCCTCAGCAGCTTTTAATTGAAGCCTGATTTTTAGCAGGTTTATCTAAACAGTTGTCCCCCGCTGTTTAATCTTTTGGAACTCTTAAAACAAGAGGTGGTTTCTTACAAAAGAGAAAACAGGAAGTCACTCTAATACAGAATGAAGAATGTCCTCTTTCCGGATTCTCCAGCTTGAAACGCGTGAGTGTGCTTAAAATTTGATGACAGAATTGAACAGCCTGCTTTTCTAAAAGCAGTTAACTAGAATCCAGGCGTCTGTTGCTCTATATATTCTGTTTGGAATGCGTGGAAATCTATGTTAGCGTTTAACCATTTGTGAGCCCTTTTTGATAACTTTTTGAAACCAGTTTATTGTACAAAACTTTGATGCAGATTTTCTTAGCAAGATGTGGGATTGAAACATTAAAAGAAGTTTTATGTGATAGCTTGGCAAAGCATCCCATTGCGCTACTGGATGGTCAGCAAACTCTAGCCTTTACCCCAAAACTCTCCCTTGTTTGGGATTTTTATTTATTCTTTTTCTATAGGATTTGAGAACTGAAAAAAAAAATGCTTTAGAGACCCACATTATTCAGGTAAAAAAATTAACTTCACCTCTTTGTTCTAAAATTGTGGGTTCTTTTCTGACCATTTTCGAGAACTGATCCTTCCCCTTTTTTTCAAGTTCCAACATCCCGGTTTATCTAGATCTTTAGCTTTTTGAAGCACGGCTACATCCTGCGTAGACTGAAACTTAGAAAAAGCTTTTGATGTGGCCTCCCTGAGTCTGTAGTGCTTAAATATATAAGTATCAATAATCCAGCCTGCAAAATCTTGCAGGCCTGTTCTCCAATCTGTTGACTTTTCAAGAGCGGGCACATTTCAAATATGCCCCCTTGAAAAGAGGTGGGGCTTCCATTACCCAATAAACCATCTTGACTGTTTCGACCACCTGCCTGAGCCCACCTTAAGCCCATTGCCTTGACAAAGGGCCCTTTTAGTTTTGTGGCACTGTCTGTAACCCTTTTCTTTGGGGAGTGCAAAATGGTTTGCGTCTTGCTGCCCCACATTCAAAGAAGAGCGCGTCCCTGTTAGTGCCAAGATCTGTTTTTTTTCCTTTCCCCCCCTTTCTGAACGAAAGCCAACAACTGTTAAAACTCCAAACGGCTGCTCCTTTGAAACGATCAGAGAGAACAGGGTTTTCAACTCTGGCGGCTTTTTATTTGCAGACCAAAGATGCTTCTGTGTGTTTCTGGTTCTCCCCCCACCCCACCCCGAGAAGCTTTTGCACTGTCTTCAAAAAATCTGACCTTCTAATGTCTGAAAAAGTTGCATCTGTATATATGTAGAGGACGAATAGATGATAAGAGTAAAAGATTAAATTACATTTTGCATATGTACTTGTCGGTGATGTTTTATACCTCTCATCTTTTCATTTGGACTTTCTCTGCTGTCTAGGACAGTGTTTCTCAACCTTAACCACTTTAAGAGGCCTGGACTTCAACTCCCAGAATTCCCCAGCCAGGATGGCTGGTTGGGGAATTCTGGGAGTTGAAGTCCAGGCCTCTTAAAGTGGCTAAGGTTGAGAAAAATTGGTCTAGGATCTGGGACTTCAACTCCCAGAATTCCCCAACCAGCCATCCTGGCTGGGGAATTCTGGGAGTTGAAGTCCAGGCCTCTTAAAGTGGCTAAGGTTGAGAAAAATTGGTCTAGGATCTGGGTTGATTTTATTCAGAGGCCATGTTTCACCAATGTCTGTTAAAATTGATGGATGAAAGGCAGCAAGAGAAATGAAGTCTGCGTCCCAACTCTTTTCCAAAAACAATTTAGCAAGGAAACAAGTGCCTCTCCTTGTAGCTTCTCCTGCCCTCCGGGTACGCTGGGCAAGAGCCCCCACCCTCGCCAGCAACAATGGGCATGGAGGGCATTGGGCAGAGATCCAATCCAGAAGGTTGAGAGAGCCAGTGTGGTGTCTGTTCTTGAACCAGGGGAAATGTGGGCATCTTCAGGGGTCATGGAGCAATTTGCAATGGGTGGTTTGTGAGTCGAGGGTCCAGTTCGGGAGCGCCGCTGCTGAGACGCTTGTGTAGAACAACGGAGTTTGGGTGGGATGATGACGTGATTTGAGACCCGGAAAAGGGGTGGTTGGGTCAAACTGTTTAAGAACCACTGATGTTGAGGACCTTGACAGAGATAGGCCAGATCCTTTACCAAAGCAACAAGGGGAAACACTCAAGTCCACAAAGGCAGATGGGGTTTGTAAGCAGTTCAGACAGACACCCCCCTAATTCACGTGAGTATGAGGTGGGGGGAAATAAAGCACAATCAGACTTGCAAGATTCTGTTACTATAGCCATTATTAATAAAATTTGGTTTGGCCTTCCTGTGGAGGTGACTTCTTGGTTAGGTCTAGGTCAGCATTTCTCAACCTTGGCAACTTTAAGACGTGTGGACTTCAACTCCCAAAACTGGAGTTGCTGGCTGAGGAATTCTGGGAGTTGAAGTCCACACATCTTAAAGTTGTCAAGTTTGAAAAACCCTGGTCTACATAGTGGGACTGACAGTGTAGCAGTTAAGGAGTTGATGTGGGACCCATTGTATCCAAGGTAAATTTCACCTACATCTCATTTAGGAACAGTTCTCTCAACTCTGTCCATCTCACGGAATGGTTGGGGCAGGAATCTGCAATTTCCTGTCGGGTTCGCCTTCATTTTCCCATGTTTCAAGCAAGTTGCAAGCTAACTGTTGGGAATCTCTCTTCCAAAGGTTCACTCTAGCACACCTGAACCTTCATCCTGAAGAGAGAAGAGGCATTTAGCTGAGGATCTAGCTGCCATGGGGAGCTGAGAGGAAAATCAGCCTGAGATGTAGATTCTGGTAGGCTTTTGACCTTTTTGGAGGTACGATCTAGCTAGTGGGACAGGAATCTCCCTCCCACTGAGTTTGTAATGACTGGATCAGGCCGGTAGTCCATCTGGTTTAATTAGCATCTGTATCACACAGCAGACATTCAGATGCATTCAGGAATCTCCTACGAAGATGAATAGGATGGTGGTGGAGTTTTTCCACCATGGTTAGTCTAGCAGTTGGAACTGAAGACCCCTCTGGGATCTAGAAAGTAGTCAAGACCAAGAGCTCACTCCTTTGAATTTGTCCCCTTTCCAAACTCTCTAAATTGGCCATCCCCGCGTCCAAATCTCCTTGAACAGCCACACCATGGGAATTTTGGATTCACACCCTCTTTTGAACCAAAAATAAATCACAGAAGCTAAAGCGTGGTTAGTTTGGAGGTCATTCTAGCACGCAAACCCAACCTATGAAAGCGAAGCAGGAGGGGATAATGTTCACAAGACGTGATCTTGAACAAGATTGCCTTTTTGCTGTGGCGTAAAATAGGAAAACCCTTTCCTTTAAGGCACGAGAGGGCGCCAGTGAATTACTGAACACTGCATGGGTGAAAACAGGCTAAAAAAAGCGCAGAATCGGCTGCTTGGTCTGGCTTATTTTTTAGCATTAGCAACAAGATGTTAGTGCCATACTCTTCCTTGTGTTTCCCCCCCCCCAGCTGCCAAATAATTAGCTTCAAATACACACCAGAAGAACTGGATCTGAGCCCATCACCTTATATTTTCCTCATTGCATATCCTACCACTTCCTCCCCCCACCCCATTTTGTCCCATTGAAGCCAATAGTCTACCGAGCAGACCCAAATACTGAAAAAATCAATGGGTTATATCAGCATTTTTCAAACTTGACAACTTGAAGATGTGTGGGCTTCACCTCCCAGAATTCCCCAGCCAGCACATCTTCGAGTTGCCAAGATTGAAAAACACGGGGTTATATTTTAACTGATTGGGTTTACTCATTGGAATGAAAAGTTGGGGTCTTCTTGAGTACAGGACAATATTATGAATGCCCCTCTCTTCCTGTGGGCCCTGGGCAATTATCCCACTGCAATTCCCTCCCCCCCATCTTCATTTGCACTTTAAAAAACATCCTTTGCTTCAGTCACGTCCCTTAAGAGGGAATTAGATTCCCCCTTAAGATTCCCAATGGTCCATAGGGAAATGCCAGGCGGGTATGACCTCCTGGCAGTTTTGGGAGGGAGAGCAGCCAACAGGCACCTTAAATTTCTGAGAAGTTTAGTGCAGTTATTTTTTTAAACATTCAGAAGTCTGTAAACAGCATTAGTGTAATGATAATCACAAGGAAGGAGAGGAGAAGGTCTAGCAGAACATGCAAAGTGTTTGGGAGAAGTTACTTGCTCGGGGGGAATAGAACCCAGTTCTTCTCTCCATAAGGAATAAACCAGATATTTAAAGGTTGGTTTTTATATCCAAACACTTCAAAAAGAGTGTTCTGGCTACCTTTCTACATTTGGAGAGAGAAATTGTCTGGCTGGTGCTCTTGTTTTGCTGTCAGAAATATAACGGTTAGGTTTGGAGAGACCGAAACTTTGATCTTTCTTACTGCATCTGCGTGATGATCAATCTTTCGCAGTGCTGCTCTTCACCCCCCCTCCCCTGCCCCATTTGGCTTCTCTTAATTTCTCTCTCCACTGCAAGACCACGATGATCCTTCGGTTTCCTTGAAAGCTTACTGAAATGTGGCTGACCCAAGCTGAGTTCTCACGCAACCACCCAGCACGAAAGACTAAGCCGCATTTTGGTCTGGAGTACTTTGCAAATGCAGTTGACAGTTAACTGACAGTTCCGTGCCTTCGATATGAGCTCAGAAAATTGGGTTAGTCAAGAAAATCAAGTTTAAGTCCATGACAGGCAAATGGGTTTTGCAAACATTTAATCGCCCTCCCCAAAGTTAAATCAGTTGCTTCTGTGTTAAATGTTCACTTGGTGGAAACTTCTGAATAATTCAGGGACAGAAAGGTTTGTATAGAGGCTCCTGTCCCCCTGAGATCATTCTTGCGTTGAGGATTGGGAAAGCAGCTTAAATGGCAGAATCTTTCTTTATGTTTGGCCTAAAACGATCCTGCCTCTGTTGCTGGGTGCGCACAGAAACAACTTTTTGTAATTTTCATCGAGATGATCCCCAGTTTCCTGGAGTAACTGTTCAAACTGGGGAGAGGGAATGGTGTCAGCCCCTTCAGAGGTGGGATATTAATCTAAGACAAGTAAATATTTCATCTAAATAGATGAAAGGGGATGTAATCTAATAAAAAGGAATATATTGATATAGGAGTAAAAGAAATCTTTTTTGATCCCCTGACTTGCGAGCTAGTAACTGCATCCAGGGCCAAAATGATGGTGATGCTGGAATCAAGTAAAGAAAAGAAAATGAATACCCCTTTGAGTAACCAGCCACAGGAAGGTGCATCTCTCTGCCTGAAGAACTTCCCTTGGAGAAAGATTTAGAACTCCTTAAAATAGTACGGTAAGTTTGTACTAGAAACCCGGAAGAAAGTCCCGTCCCGTCCCCTTCCCTTCCCTTCCCTTCCCTCCCTCCCTCCCTCCCTCCCTCCCTCC